TAAGTGTTTGCAAGAAGTTTTTTATGCGGTTCCTATTTCTCGGGAAACATTTCCAAATGCTCTGCTTTTTGTTAAAGTTTTATTGGTGCTGCAACGACAAGTTTTTGCTTCTTTTATTTTCTGCGGCACTGAACAGTTATTTTAAGTGATGTTAAAACAAGGAAATTGGAGAAGAACAAACAAATGTGAATAAATTTTGAAAAGAATAATAAACAGGAAACAAAACAACAGCAAATTTCATGATTCAATAAATGTGTCAATAAATTCTGGTAAAAACAATATCTTTTAGGCATCTTCTCAAACTCTACTAAAAATTAGCATAAACATTTTTTTGCTATAAAATGTCTTAGTGGAACAAATTTTTGATAATTTTTAATTTAAATGAATGAGTTTTAATGTGAAAAGAAATATGAAACCATTGACGATAGGCAACAGCAAAATAATCGGTACCAGTATTATGTTCACCGTTGTCACTAGGTACCAAAACTGATCTTGCTAAAAGATTACTTTTGATTTACTGCTATACTGGCTAGCCAGTTATTTGACTGAAACCAGCATAATAAACATAGGCTGTTTAATGCTGTGTAGTGCTACTTTAATAAACTTCTAAAAGCTTTACTGCACACTGCACTTAATCTGAAGCACCAATTTTGCAGCTTAAAGATTTAAAAAAAAAAAATTTATAATTTTAAAATGACATCAGAAAATTATTTTTATTTTTTGTGAAAAGTTTCACAATAAATGAGGAACTTTTTTCAAACACTGTTGCATAGTAACCAAAACAATTTCATGTGCATTATACCTAAAGGATAACCTGTTCAGTTGCAGTTACCTTAGTAACAGCACCGTCATCGATTTCATCACCTTTTTTTTCTTCTGTCTATTTTATATCGGAAGCTGTTTGTTCAAATCGTGTCAAGCTATTAGACTATTTTGCAGGTAAAAAAAAAAAAAAAGGAAAATGATTTCTGTATCCTATCTGCTATAGACTAATAAAAGTTTACATGTAGCAGTTGTGCACTGTACGCCAGAAAACAATTGTCAAAGACAAAGAAAAAAAAAGAAAGACGAAAAGTCAAAATCTTAAGGGGCAAACGTAAAAATATACACACAATACTTATTCAGTAAACTTTGTATAAAGTCCAAAAATGGTCTTCATCTTAAAGATGTCTTGAAAAGCCGAAAAATAAATTATTTGAATTAATAGTAGTATCTAATTTCCAAAAATAAACCTTTGACACCGTCTAAAAACACTTAGTCTTTATTTTTTTTTTTTGTCTATGTGAAGATTGAAACGGTCAGTGATCGTTATGTAAACATTTTAAGCAACAGTGTAACTGAACTAAATCGTTTTTATTTAAATATATGAACAATAAAACAAACACACTAAATGAGAAG